ATGTTTTTATCTGTTTTAGCAATTATTTCTTGCATACATGGACTAGAAATTTTAATTTTTTTTCTTGTCCATGTAATACATGCAAAATAGTACTGTCATTTTGTCCATTTTATAAGTATGTTATTTTGTCCAAAATTAAACAAAAAATAATAATTAAAATTCCACCAAACACCTGATTGTTGTAATAAAATTGATCAAAATCACCAGTACTGACATAGGTTAATTCATTTTAATTGGAATAATTACGGATATAAATAAACAGGTCCCAAAAAACACGAGAAAAACATTTCAAAATAAACTTTTCAAGGCTCGAAACAAATTTGAAATGATTACTGCGACAAGAAAGTGACAATGACGATCAACATCTGACAGGATTTTTAATATGGTTAAAAAAAACACTGTGTCAGTTCATCAAAAGTATTAAAATTAATAATTACAAAACACTATTACACTATACGCTATACAAAAACAATATTTTTTAAAAAAGAATATTACATAGAATGTCAATTTTTACACCGAGCGCTACAAAAAAGTTTATAATTAATGTGTCGCATTTAATATGTTTTACACTTAAATAATATTAGAATTATTTAGGAATTAGAATATCAGAATTCAGTATTATATGAAAAATACATATTTTTATATACCTATACATTTGTGTGTGTATGTGTGTGTGTTTATAAAGCCAAAATACATTTTGAACAGGCATTCATCAAAATAGTAAACATAGAAAGAAAACTAAATTATGTTTGTAAAAAATATTTTCAACCAAATTCCATAAGTTTCCAGTCGAAATTTGGCACTACTTCAACGGGTAAAACACTCAAATTATTTAGACACAAAACACAAAAACATTTTCAATTAAAATAATATTTCTTCAAGAACTATATTAGTTTAGAACAATATTTGATTCGAAAAATTGAATTAAAATAATCATGTCGACCATCATGCACGAAGTGTTACAATTCATTCCTACAAAATATGAATCAATTTGCAAATATCATGTTGAAGTTCGAGAAAAATCTAAAGTTTCAGTCGTTTTGTTCCATAAAAAGCGCATATTCTAACAATAAATTATATAAGTTCGTATATATCCCCACGGCTTTATTTTCTATGTTCCACTCATCAGCCCTGCCACTAATTCCCAGCTTTTCTACTATCACAAAGTTATGCCGAGTGGGATGAGTGTCAGAGGGGCAAATGTGGGAAGTACGCTTGATATGCAAAACAGTCTCTGCGGTATTTTTAAGCGTTTGTTAACAGCGTTTTATGTGTTACTTTTAAAGCGCCCGAGACTCGCTCGACTTTTGTTTCCGGCAACCGAAACGTAATAAATGTCGTGAGACGAAATGGACCTCGTTAATTTCGAGTGTTACGATGCTGGAAGCTGATATATTATGATGTCCTTCGTAAAAGTAACAATATTGCAAAAAAGGCAAGCATTCCATATAAAGTTTCTCTTTGACTTTGAAACCTATCACATAAGTACACAACAGAAACTAAAAATTGCCCGTAACATAACAATAAAAACAGAAATTTTTTTGAAGGACATTTGCAGCCCATTCGTTTTTTTCTGGCAACTTTTTGTTATATTGTAATGCATTTATATGAATACAAATTAAAATACCAACTTTAGATGATTTTTTTCAAGTGTTAATCATTTTTATAATATAAGAATAGCAAATTGAAAATTTCACTGAAAAATGAAAATAGTCTAAATGTTTGAACTTCAAAAAAAAAAAAAAACAAAAAAATCATAATTTTCATTTATATGTGAGTGAGAGATCATTCACAAATTGAATGAGTGTCAATAAGTTCGCAATTTTTTAAAATGTTATATCATCTCCAATTATTTTACATACTACTTAGCATTTACCTTCAGATTATTTCACTTGACATCATAGAGTTAGAGTTTTTCAATATATAAACAAAATGGAAGCCCCACAGTCCTCTCTGGATTTCTGTAAAACGTGAAACAACTTTAAAATTAGATCAGATTTTCTGATACTATTTAACGGTAGATATGAAAATTATGTTTGATCCAGTCTGAAATCATAATATAGTGAAAAACTCATCATGTCCTCGCAGTATCTCGAAAAATAAAATCAGATGTTTGAAGATAGTTACCATATGTAAAACGAACTAAAAACTAGCCCGATACTAACCCTTTAGATGCGAATGTCGTCCATGGACATCATCCATGAACGACATTCTTACCATCCTCGTCTACCTGTGTGTACGAATGTCATCTATGGTAACTATGGTAGCAAAACAGTTAAAAAAAAATTATATAAAGTATACTAGTTAATTTACAAATATTGTATATTTGAACTGTAAAAATTCAATAATTATAACAAAGGATATATATATATATATATATATATATATATATGTGTGTGTGTGTATGTGTTCTCTTCAAAAGGTTTCAGTTAATTCGAATTGCTGTGAATTTAACGCTCACTATGTGGTTGCACAGAGGCGTGAAACAAATAATGCAATCGTCAGTCATCCTGACAGGTGAATTGTAATTAATGAATGAATACTTTTGTAGTGTATTCGCGACTATATATTACAAATTCATGCAGCTTATTGCAAACTATATAGTATAATATAGGTTAATAAATAATTCAATTGCACAAGTATTAAACAATTGAACATATATTTATTGAACCATCAATGAATATAAATAATTTAGTACAAAATATTTCCATCCCTTATGTGGCGATGAGTTATACTAACTTCTGATAAAGTCAAAATGAAACTTATGGAACAGTTCTGTTTTAAAATACACAGTTTTCACAGAAAACATGGACTGAACATAACATGATCATCCACAACCGCGCGATGTTTACAGAAACTTTTAGAAAGGTCACTTGATACAAAACAAAGAAGAAACTTAAAACTCAATGCTGAATAGAACATTGTTTCATATTATGTAGAAACTGTGATCTGAAATTTGCAGATAATAGAAATTAGTCTTCCAATAGATAAAAAGACGCCAATGAATAATATATTTTGATCTAATACAAGTTTGTGCATCTAACTAAATGCATTTTTACTACCGGTCCATTAAATATATTTCCATCCTAACAATTTTTTAAATTACCCTATTGGTAAATGTTCACACTATATTCTTCTGAAAAAATATGAATTATTGTATATTCTTCAAATGTAATACAGAAATCATTATATAATATTTTAATAATGTGATTCAATCTAAATTGAATATTCTGGTTATTACATTCAAGTTACTTCAATCTGTTAGAAAGCAGTCTAAATATGCTAATCACAATAAAACCTACCGCAGACCTTTCGCCCTGAAATTTCATACTGCCAATTATTACGAAAATTGAATGTTAAATCTAAAATTCGTATATTTAATGCAATAAATGAATTGTGAAGCCGTAGAAAGCCCGGTCAAAAGAATAATCGTTCTCGATTTAATATCATTTCGTGGAGTCAAGGGCGTGGTCGAGAAAAGTTTAAAATCAGAGCGAATATTTGGAAAAATATGAAAACGTATACTTTTAATGCAGTCTCGTTCATTCCATATATAACACGTTAAATTTAAATGTTTATCTCCTTACATAAATTTGTATAAAATACATAAATATATCGTAATTAAATACATAAATTATCGTAAATACTGATAAAAGTTCATAGAGCTTTATTGTTCTTCAGCTAATTATGTAAGCTTTTTTAAATAAAAGGCTTATTGTGTCTTATTAGTGTAAGCTAATAGAAGCAGAAAAATCCAATGTCTTCAATGAATTCAACGTCGACTTAGTCAAAAAAAATAGTGCAGGAAAGCCTCCATTTAGGCTTAAGGGAATGAGTTTTTGATATTAGCGTATCTAACAAATTAATTACACCATCAAATTGGGCATGAGACGCTTTGCTGCTTGACAAGTGTTGAATTTTCATCCCATAAGGCCCATATTGTTAACGCTTTTTTGGCTAAAAACTCAAGAAATATTATGGTTAACCATCGTATTCACTATATCTATCATCCTGTGATTTTGTTCCCAAACATGAATTGCCACTTACTAGACACCGCTTTGTGTTAATAAATACCACTAATTATAAGAAAAAATCGCGAAAGAAGCTGAAGGAGATCGTTTTAATACTTAGTTACGTGTATGTAGAAAATTGAACTCAACATTCGTGCATTGTTGAATTGTTGTCACAAATATAAACTTTATAAAATATTCGATATGTACCCAGCAAACCCGCAGGTATTTACGATCGGCCTCGTCGTCTCTTATGTACGTTCATTGACCATATGTGTGAATTGCGCGGACTGCCTCCTGTTCGTTTGAATATATTATGCATTTTGCCGCTAGGACCTCTATGCATAAATAATAGATATACGACTTCCCCAACCATTGCTAGTTGCGATTTGAATGGACAACACAAACACAATGTACCGAAGTCTTGGATTGGTTCTTGCAATATTTTTTCAGTATGTAAAATAAACTGTGAAAATGAAAAATTGATTTCAATGATATTGAAGACGCATTATATTTCAAAAACAATTTTTCCAATAAAACCTTTTATTAAATTTTTCGATTACATAATTTTCGAATGATAAACAGTAAAATATTTTTTTCATAATTAAACATGAACAAGTTACTATGTTTTAATATATATAGTTACAACATAATGTTTTAAATTATGAACTGAGTTCAACACACTAATATGTAAATAATAACTTCCATTGATTAATTAACTAATTGATATAAAATAATACTTTGGTTAAAAATCGTCAGTGATATTACACCAAATACTAGTTAGATAAAACCAATAAAAAATGATATTAGAAACCAAATCGTCAATAACACAAAGTTTTGCTAACAAAATGTAAAACCTTCGCAAATTTAAAAATTAATTTAATTACAGACTTTAAAATACAAGATAACGAATAAAAAATTTTGATACATCTCATGATGTAAAAACACATAGAAATAAATCACATTATAGTAAAATGTATGTTTGCGAATTTATTATGGTTCACTTTTTCAATAAGACATAAACTTATGAGATGCGGAAATACTCGAGATAATATACGAAGCTGGTTCAAGTTTATTGGTAACATAACCACTTCGAAAATTAAAAATACCAACTTACAATCTATAAAATATATCAACTAATCAAACAAAACACAAAGAAGCAACAATAAATCAAACGCCGACAGTTCGACTAGGTTCATCTTCTATGGTGATTGTCTAAAGCGCTTACCAATTGGCTTATGGTCATCCTTGTTAGAGTGAAAGTATCTCCAACAAATGCAGCAATAATACTTGAAACATGTTAAATCGCGACAAAAATATAAGCCGCGAAATTCGCCGCAATTCATACAATTTGTTTCTTCCAAGTAAGGATCAAGTTGAATTATTTTATTAATACGATCAGTTTTGATCTGCACAAAAGCAGCTTTTATAGCTTTATTATAAGAAGTCGAATTACTAAAAGTAACACGAGCAGAACCCATAGGATACTTCCATCTGTCAGTATCCATACTCACAGCTAGTACTCCGTCAAAAAGATCATTCAGAATTTTAGCGAGACCTTCGGCATTCAGTGTTCCATGTATTGCTCCAACAAAAACCGTCTTGGTAGGATCAAATTGATTTATATTGTTAGGTCTAAAATAATTGCAGGAGTAAACTGATTCGCAAAGCACCCACGGTATAACTTCAATCATTTTACGCCTTGTGTTCGGAGATGTGAATCGGAAGTACCATTTCTGTTGGCCTTCATTGTTCATCTCAGTAGCACAAGCAGACAACAAACGCTTGACATTAAACTGAGACTCATAATTTAGATAAAGATGCCCCCTTGCATGTCCTGCATTTCGATCTTTTCCAGGCCATTCAATTTGCACGCGACCAAATCGGCTAAATGTCAAACATAGATGTTCGTCAGTTGCTTCCCATGGAACCCCACCTAAAAAAACTTTTGTTGCAAAATTAGATTCCAAAGTAATTAAGGGTCGTCTTGGAAGTACACCGCTCCAAGTGTGTGTGGCTTCGTACCACGTTGCAGCTGAGCGATGGGACTGAACTTTCTGATCTAATATCGAATCGGTCAGTTTCATAAATTTGTCTAAGACACGATATCTTTCAAGTCTATCACTTGCAGAAACCTGTGAGTCGTTTTGCTCCAAAATAGTTGATAATGCAGCGTAGGAGCTTCCATTAGAGGAATGATCGCCGTTCCACATATTGCGCGTACTGCGTCGATCAAAGTTATTGTTAATACGGTCGAGATCCCTGTCTGATAAATGGTTAATGAAGTCATTTCTACGCATAATGTCAAAAGCATTTGGTGTGCGACCGAAGGACGAATATCTATCGAAAGAATCATGTCGTGAATATCCATTTAGGTTCGCATCTGAAATGAAATTAACTGTAAGAATGGTATATTCATAGAATATAATATAAGTAAGAAGCATAGTAAGAACAGTTACGTATGAGTTAGTAGTGGTATTATTTTTGCTGGTATTAAAAATTTGGTAATTTTTAATATATATTATATTTAATTTTTTTTATCAAGAATCAACTACCAATTCAAAAATTCCAGGCTGCAGGTATTATATATAAAAAATAGGTGAATATATATATATATACATATATATATCTAATATATCTAAAATACATATATATATATATATATATATATATATATATATATCTCGAACAAACAGCGCTCTTTTTTACACTAATTTATAATTTGCACCAATATTTGCACTTACAGTAAGAAGAACAAGTTGGAACTATTAACACATAGTGCTATTTCAGATTTTCATATTTTAGATTTTAAATTATAATGCAGAGATGATGAGATAGACGAACCTAGTCTCGAAACGTTTGTAAAATTAATATTATTCAATAAATTAGTGCAAAAAAGAGTGCTGTTTGTTCATATTTCTAAATGTCTATGTCTAAATTCTAATATCTAAACACTCTAGAATACATTTGTTATATATATATATATATATATATATATATATAATGTTATAATTACATTTATCAACAAGGGTTACTGTAGTTTTTAGTACAATATGTAAACAATATTACATAATATATACGTATATTAGTATTAAATATTATTAGTAATAGAAAGCTGAAAGTATAAAAATTTTGGTTAGTGCATAAATGAATGGAATATGTAGAAGTAATTGGAAACATTATTAAGATTATGAAAATGAAGAATTAGTTTAGTTTTAGTCGAATGTTAGTGAATGAAAGTAGTTGATAAATGACTTACCAAATTGACAATGGCATATTCAATGCTAAAATAATCTTTTGTTTATATTTCCAAAATATAAAAAAAACATTAAGTGAATGATAATTATATTTAAGTTTTGAGTAACAATAAGTTTAACTATATATAAGAAAAAAAATACAAAATTTTAACATTAAGTTACTTAAAAAATGTTCCTCATATCAAAAACATTATTAAAAAAATGAGATCGATTTCAACCGTAATATAACATTAACATGTTAACAACCTTAAAACATAACCATTTCATGACTTGAAAAAATGAAAAAAATAAACTTCTAAACAAAGATAATCAAAGCCATTTTCACTATCCAGTCGTCATCTAAATATCACAACCAATCTATTTGCACTAAATCAGCGCATTTCTTAAATATTCCTATTCTTCAGGATTCATTTAAATCATTATAGTAAGGGCAAAATTTAATTTATTTTAATAAAATCGAAGTAAACTTCGTTTGTAAAAATAATCACTTTTATCAATATTTAAAAGACACTTATCTATGCCTCAATAATAATGTTGGGTTTAAAACTTAATGCCCAGTTAAATAGATTTAATTAATCATAAAATATTGTCTAAATAACCAACAATTTTGTATGTCGAATGTTGAGAATTAAATTATTTTAAATTTAAGCTTTATCATTAAAATGCAGTTCAGTTAATGAGATATAAAACTAATAAAATGTACTTTTACGTTGGTTTGTGCAAAATATCAGTCGTTATAGCGCATAAATAATAAAATAATTATTTTATTTTATAAAATTGTGTAAGCTGATTAGCGCATTCAACTTTTTTATAGAATAAAAAATGCCAATATATAATATTGGCATTTATACTATGTTTAAATAATATATTTACAAACCTATGCATAGGTTTAAGGTATTCGTAAATTGACGCAAGTCCTAATTTTGTGTCAGTTTATTATTCAAATAAATAATAGAACTATTTTAAATACAATTTAATTAAGATATTAGTATATGAAATAACTAGGTTAATCGTTTCATTATGACTTGCGATAATTTACTGTATTTAATTTATTTAACTATTTCTTAATTCGAGGACGTGTTGGCAAAAGACATGCCAATGATCGGACTTTTCGAGTTTCGCATAAGTGGTTTATGTGAGACCATGTTGATGTGATTCATTTGCCAGCAAGTGCGGCAAAAATAGCGGAAGCAAACCAACTCGCGGCAGAAGTAGGGTCCTTGTTGAACTCCGCATAATGAACACAAGGAATCTTCAAGATATGGATCTAATTGAACTTTCTTCGAAAATTTTTCAGTTTTGATGTCTATAAAGGCGGCAGTTATAGCTTTCATATATGAGCGATGATTGCTAAAAGCAACTCGTCCTGATCCAATTGGATACTTGTATTTATCTGTATCTAAACCTGCATAAATAACTCCTTCGAAGAGATCATTCATTATTTTTGCAAGACCTTCTGCATTTAACAATCCATGTAGAGCTCCAACAAAAATAGTTTTACTTCCATCTAGTTTTTGAGAAGGAGTACGCGAAAAGTTAGTGTCATTCAAAATCCATGGTATGACCTGCACCTGTTTGGATTTCATTCGTTTAGAAGATATTTTGTAGTATAAACAATTGTCATCAGCTTTATCGCCATAGCCCGTAGTACATTCAGACAACAAATGTCTTACGTGCTTTTCGTTTTCAAAAACTATGTAAGCAAATCCTTTAGGTTGCAAAGCATGCTTTTCTTTGCCAGGCCACTCGACTTTAATTGGACCAATATGCTGAAAAGCTGCAACTAACATTTGTTCTGTAATATCCCAGGGAACTCCTCCCAAAAATACTTTCGAAGAGTAACCAGTAATCTTGCTGCTTCGCTTAGGCAACACACCGCTCCATGTACACGTCGCATCATACAAAGATGCGCCGCTTCGATGAAATCTAGCTGCTCGGTCGAGTGCTGTGTACTCTGCGAAAGCAACAGACGGAGTTCTAAGCAAATTCTGTTCCTGTAGAAGTAAATCGAGTAGATTGACGCTGCGTCCAAAAGCTGCATCTAAAGGGGAATTCGGCGAACCATACAAGCCGACGGGAGTACCAGGACTCGCAGCAGCACTTCCTAAACTTTCAGTGTAAGACGAACGTCGGTGTAAATTGCGATTATTATACCTCCAAGAATGCTTTGAGCGTTCTTGGTTACTTTGAATCGACTCAGACCTACCATAACGAGGAGGCGTAGAGTACGAATTATCCATCCACCCTCCGGACTGCGGAGTTTTCACTGGTGTCGATATACCGTCGTTAAAGTAGTTTTTAGGCGGACTACCCACTGGATTCACATCACCGCAACTAGAAGACAGAGTGGTACTCCTAGGTTTGTTCAATCCAAACAGCTCGGTAACGGTAAGGGTATCTCCTTCCTGAGGTGAAATATGACCAGCATTTCCTCCGCTCAGTAAAGAATTGATTGACTGTCGCTGCAGTATCTCTGTTGAATTAACCATATCAGGATTCCAGTATGAAGAGCCTAAGTTCATCTGGGTCATATCTGTAAACAAAAGGATATGAAAAATTATTATTTTACTTTTTTTTCATTTTTTTTTTTTAATTTTTACAATTCATTCAAAATAATAATTGGTAACGACGAGTAAAAAATTTATTCAGCGCCGACAACTACAATTTTATGGTAGGAAGCATCACTAAAAATAAATTTATAGTTTAATATTGCTCGTTGCCCACGTTAGGTAGATCAATGAATTCTTGTCACCTAGAACTAGAGATACGGTCCTTTCCTACAACTTGGCCGCTATATATCATTGGGACCCCTAGGAATGGCGAGAGCAATCCACAACTGACAAACGTTCGCATTATATAGGTTTACAGACGCAACCTTCCTTCGAGAGGGTGCCCCATGGATAACGTATGGGTGGAGAAATCAATGCGTGCCCCACAAATTCCTCACCCCTAACCGATTTCGAGATTGAATAGCTAGAATTGCATATATTAATAAAAGGAGTTCACATTTGTGTATAATAATAAGAAGAATATATAATTGCACCTATTAGTGAAAATCTTGTTGGTATTTTAAAGAAGTGTGATACTGTAAAATCTAGTTCAAGCGAATTCATTATCAAACCAAAACATTCAGATAAGCTGTACAGTTACAAAGTTTTGGTTTTGTGTAACCTCGTCCTGGGAAAGTTCAAAGTAAGATGAAAATATACTGTAGAATTAGAACTCCTCTGTGAACTAATGAATATGTTCTTGGTGCGTCGCGGAATACAAACTTGCTGATAATTATGCATCAAATAGCTCGTATATGTTTTCGAGAGAAGTTCTGAATTCTCTTTCAAAAGTTGTAGATTAACTGCGTACACGAGAGGTTTGAGGTCGTAACCATGTGAAATCATTTATATATCTATAGGCATAATAGACGAAAATTACTTTATTGCATGCAATTACTTAGTGCACATTAATGTTGTTGATTCAATCAAATAGCAATTTAATGTTTTTGTGCAATTTTCCACGGTGCACATCTTTGAAATAAATACAAAATAACTACAATATTTTTAGAGAAATTCTTATATGATCGCGCTTTTAAAAAATCAGAGCCACAATTAATAAAATCCATATAAATGTATAAATTCTTATGTATTCACTTATTAACTTCCCGTAGGGTAAGTTATTGTAATGGGCCGAAAATCGGAATCGAAAATTTTTACATTTCTCGACGTTTTGAAGGTTTCTGAACGTTTTGGTATACCTCAGAAAAAATGGATGTGTGTGTGTGTGTGTGTGTGTGTGTGTGTGAGTGTATGTATGTATGGATACAAATTTTCGCCCACGTTTTCGGGCGTACGGATTAACCGATTTGAATGGTTCAAAAAACATTCGATTCCTATTCATAGGGAAAAGAGCTGATTAGTTTTTGGCAAAGGCAGGTCCAGCCGTTTCGGAGATACGGAACAAAAAGTGCAGAAAATAGAGATCGAATTTTTGAGAGAACGGATTATCCGATTTGAATGATCTGAAAAACATTCAATTAGTAATGATTGGGAGAAGTGTTTATTAGTTTTTGGCAAAGGCAGGCCCAGCCATTTTGAAGATACGGAGCTAAATATGTAAAAAATGGCAATTTTTGAGAGAACTAAGCGTCCGATTTAAATGATTCAAAGAACTTTCTGCTTGTCTTAACGAAATAATTGATTTTGGAAAAAAAAAATTTGTTAAATTTTTTTTTTTTTTTTTTAGTTTTTTGTATATCGAAAATATTTCAGATTTTATTTTTAATTCTGACTATAGTACTAATATACTTTACAAATAATTTCAACTCTGCAATTCAGTTTATATAATTCTTATAAATATTAGACAATTTTACAATATTTATAATAATCTATTTGAAAACATTCAGTATTCCACGAACATTTCGTTACGGTATGGGAAGTTCCAGCAATTTGCCTTAAGGCACGATGCCATAATTGCCTCAAGACAGAATTCCACTTACAGCTAGTTTCACATAAAATCAAGAACATACGTTCTGCTCACTTCGTAAAAATGTTATAAACATACAGAAACTTTTAAGCTGTTGGTATTTACGGCTCAAGGTGGCGTTAGCTGCCACACAGGGATTTTGTGATTCTGACCCGCTCGGTTGTGAAAAACAAGCAAATGCTATTTTATTTACTTTTGGAATCTATAACAACATAGCTGGTGTATATTTTACTCAAACATATTATATTTGTTGCTAATATATTTCTATATTAATTTTAGCAACTAAATTTATGGTTCAATAGATTAATATTTTATTGCGAAATATTTACTAACAAATTAAAAGCTGCATGCACATAGCTTTTGTAAAATAACATAGTCGAAGTTAAATATAGAAATAACTTTTATAAAATTTTGTAAGCCACGTAGGTAACTAATTAGGAATACTTTGAATTATTTATCAAATATTTTGTAATATTTGATAAATATACAAAAATAGATGGACGGGGCGCCACCTATTCCAGAAACACAACTTTTACTAAAATCAAGGATAAGGTGGTGGCAAGGAATATGTTTCTACACGGTGCAGCCTCACAGCTATCGAGGACTCGTAACATCTAAAGGAGAAAAGTTTAAATCGGCTTTGAAAAGTAACGCGCTCATCTTGATAGGCGGACGTGATAGGCGAAACGCTCAAACGCACTTCTCCGCGAACAAGAAAGATCCGAACTCAAATCTGTTCATATAATTTATTGTTGTAGTTTGGAAAGTTCTAATCAGATGATGTGATCTTATACGGTTAAGTTTGAATAAGCACAGGATAACCATGGTTATGATTACTATACATTGCAAAAACTCATCTCTAGATTGAGATCAGTTGAAAAATTAAAATCCAAATGTTAGATAAAACTTAACATACAAATTATAATATTGTGAAAATATAGTACAAATTTCAAAATGTTTTTCTTCGAAATGGTTTTGATAGCACATTTCATTCAACTATAATTAATGTACCTAATAATGAAAATTGTAATTTGATTTAATAAATCAGAGACTTCATCCCTATATTTTGAATAACAGATTGGTTCGTATTTTCATGTGATAAATTTCCGTATTAAGGCGCGCAAAATCGAAAGACATTATACGATTCAGCAGGCTTATATAATAAACCTAAATCAAGCGTATCTCACGAATAATCTTCCCGAGTAGTGAAATTACAACCGGTACACTTCACAAACATTGAATAATAATCCTATAAGCTTTCCAATATTTCATTCGCTCTGACAACAATCAATATTCAAATTCTATCTACCTCTTCTGTTTCAACCATTTTGAAAGATTTCTTCATACTTCTATATTTGCCATGTTTTATAAAACATGAGGGTTGAAACTTTCATATTGTGTGTATTCCATGATTATAGCGGGACTATGAATTTGGGAGAATGCATATTTTATATAACCCACGAAATTATGCCGAAAAATATTCATATATGCTGGAATGTAATCTCAGTTAATATGACCTAGGAGAGATGTCCTAACGCACTATGATGGAACGAGAAAGAGTCCGCTCATTTTGTGTTTCTATATTATGACGTGACATGCGTTGAATATTTCATAGCTTAATTCTAAAAAAACTGTGTTTTCAATTGTGTTTGTCAGAGAGTTACCAAATGAAGATAATATGTATGCACGTGTAAATTAGATAAAAGTATCCTAAACAATATTTGATGAACAAAATAAATTTATGAATGTATAAGCGACTGATCCACATTTAACAACTGCATTAAACAAATGCTATGTTGCACAAATGATGTTTTTATTTCAAAGATTAATATATATATATATATATATATATATATATATATATATATATATACTAGCAAACCCGACGGACTCCATTTCGCCACCAGATGGTTTCGTGAGAAAGATGAAATTTTTGTTTGTTTTATATTTGAAAAGGAAAAATTTGATTTTATTACACAACAGTAATGAATTAATTTCGATTACAAAAATGAAGTGTTTTTAAGTTGAACTTCTCTAAGTAAATGATAGTAAATCCGCATATTATCCATTTCATTGAAGTGTTCTTTGGTAAATCCCATTTTTTGTTTTTTGGTCTGACGTTAACACAAACAAAGCGGATGGCTTTCCAACTCGTGAGCAGGCAACGTATAACTGCCCATGTAAAAAACAATGATTTTCTAAATTAATCTATTATTTATTTCTGTCAGGAAGGAAAACTTGACAAATTTATATATATACACGTATATATATATATATATATATATATATATATGTAGATATTCTATTTGAAATTATTCAAAACAATTATTGATTATTTTCATTACTCGAATTTCTAATTATGGTGCGTGAAGTTCCAGCAATTTGCATTAAGGCACGATGCCATGCACCACTAATTTTCTTAGCTAGAAAACCTTGCGAGGCCCGAGACCTTTACGACGAATGCAACATTGTCGGATCGGTTCGTGCGTTCTGGAGTTATTTCGTCAGGAAGGAAAACCCGAATTAATTTTATATAGATGTAAATATATATATATATATATATATATATATATATATATATATATATATATATATATATATATATAGAGAGAGAGAGAGAGAGCGAGAGAGAGAGAAAGAGAGAGAGAGAGAGCATACACTTTTGACGATATAGATTGATGACATTCATATGTAATAGCAAAAAATTAGTTAAAATTAATGTAGAACTTCGAATAGACGAGCAAAAATAAAAAAGACAATGATTATAAACTAAAATATTACAATCAATACGAAGAACTTAACCAAAATAAAACTAATGTTCGCAGATATCTTTTAAATCATGGATATTACACTGCAAGCGAAGAGCGCATTTTTATTTGCAACTCAGCCAAAGGTTAGTTTTGAAACAAATTTTAAAATGAAAATTTTTAAAACTTTCATCAGATTGTTTTTTACGTCTTCATGCTGGTGGTACACGAACTGACAAAGGCAAAAAATAAAAAATCTGAATTCAATTATACGGAACTGGAAGTAACTCCGCTATTCAAGTCGGG